TCCATCCACCACCAACACATAATGGGGCAATTACCAAGAAGGGGGCTGGGACAGCATGAAGCCTTTAGCTTTAGCTCTTTGGTACACCACACAATGCTTTGGTGTATATGTTTGTGTCTCATATGCATATGTTTGTGCATATGCATATGTTTGTGCTTCATTCCGGGACCACTAAAGAGCTTAAATTAGGCACAGAGCAAACAATAATGCAAAGAAAAATTTCCGCTTTTATGTGTTCATCAAGCCTGGTCGCTGTTCACCCTGCACAGTGACAGACAGGCACATCTAATCTGAAATTGCATTATTGATGCCTGATCTTTTGCGCGGCCCGGCTCAACCCCTGCATCTTCCACACCTCGTAATCAAGCATAATTGAGGTTAACTGTACGGCACGACTGAAACGCTAGACAGGTAAGCCGCAGCCTCTCATGATTAATGTAGTGTGTTAGTGTTCTGGGCTCTGACCTTTTGAGATAGGCCAGGCACCATTTTTAAGTGAAAGCTCTGCCTCTGCCGAGTTGTGGAGTTGTCCATCAAGTCCTCCTGCACCCCGCCACTCTCCTCCCTCCACCCCACCAATGCTCCCCGCCTTCCAAAGGCAGATCCTTGTCTTGCTGCCTCGTTGCCCCTGACCCATGTTTGTTTGCCTACATGTCTCGTTTTACAATGCAGAACCAAAGACCTTTTTTTCTTTTTTTTTAAACCACCCAGGTACCTTTTTAAAGTAGGGTATGTCTTATTTAGAGGAGTGAAAAAGTTAATCCTCACTGAATGTAGTGGCTCAGGACATAAAGAATCGTACAAATGAGATTCAAGGTTTTTCCTTATCTTCAGACCATATAAGTTATTCTGGGTAATTCTGAAGCTGCTTTGTTCTTCAGTTTCTGTCTTGTCCTTTGACATTGCAAGTAAAGACACATATATTAAAGGCTGATGTGACCCCCAGTGGGCCGAGTGTCCAAACCAGTGAATGCCATTGTCCGGGCCTCTGCTCTCCAAAAGCTTCCGCGGATGTAACTTGGCAGCGAGGTCATGTCCTTGCCTCGCTCCCTAACATAAGCATTGTCAGAGTTAACTGAGTAAATTTACTTTGTACTCAAGCTCATTCAGACCTTCACTCAGACACACAGAGACACTTTCGCAGCCTAACAGAATGGACTACAAGCATACAAAAAAAAAAGACAAGCTTCCTTTATGCGGAGATTTGCAGGAGAATCTGAAGGTGTACTTGTTAATCAGGGAAGGCGAGGAAACCTGGGTCACCATCTGTAACATAGACCAGGGGCAGTAAATGGATGAGGAGGGGTGAAAGGGCACCCTCAGACATTCCTTTAGAAAATAAACAGAACAAAAACTTGCGTCTGCGGACAGGTATTCCAAGCTGATCTATCAAGCTTGGCTTTTGCTGTTTTCTGACTTTCTGCAACGTTTAATGTCACATCTGTAGACTTTAACAAACATTAAATAAAAAGGAGCAAATCATGAAAGTGCACTGAAATTAAAATGAGCTAGCTTCATCCTCACATTTCAAGGGCCCAGTTGGGAGTAAATCTAATGCAATTAGCAGGTTATCTGTGGTAAAGTGGAGGTGTCTGCTACCTATTACCGTATGGCCTGACAGGAGGGAGGGATGGATTTCTGTTGTACCACAGATGAAGAGGCAGCAGGAACGACAGGCAGATGCTGCGTTAGAGGAAAGCTCCCCAGTCTTTTGTTACGCTGTGGCTATTCAGTCAGTTTATTACCTTTCTCTGCTTAGACAGCATCTTGTGCAATTTTAGTTCTCATTTGGCAAGTGATTTTTAAAAATTCTACAGAGCATACTTTTAGCAATAGCCCAGCTCCTATTGTCCTCGCTTTGTGTGTGTGGTGATACGCCATTGTTACAGAGACAGTTCTGAGGACTTTGGTAGGTGTTTGCATGTCTCTCTGTCGGTCTGTGGACAGATTTCGCTGCTGTGTAAGATACAGTCATGAAGGTGTGTATCTTAGATCAAGATTAGTTTCAAAGATGGGTGTAATCCAGGCTATGACTGCTGAGCACTCATGTTATCAGTTGGTATGATCCAATTGCAGAACGGTCCGTAGCTGTTTATGATCCCCCCTTAAGAAAAAAAAAAAAAAACATGACCTCTGGCATTAAGGCACAAGCAAGTGTATTTAATGTTTGGGGCCAAGCCTGCCTTTGTGCTGAAGCCAGTTATCAATGGAAGACAGCAGTAGGGGTCACTTCAGGCATCTGCTGCTCTCCTGCACCACTCATCTGCCCATCTGTGTACACTGCTGCCCTTCTGTCCACTCACACACACAGAAATATATCCAGAAACACCAACCACTTCCCCAAATAATGTTGTGTGCAAATGTGCGTTTGTAACAGACATATAAGTCTATAAGAGTGTTTTTATTCTGTATGTGTTTAAAGCACAGCCTTGTACCGCTTTGGCTGGAGAAAGGTGTCAAGCTTTATTATAGAGGGAACTGCAGTATCTGCAAAACATAACGGAGGAAAGTAGAAGAAACCAGAGAAGGAGGGACCCCTCTAGAGGCAAAAAAAAAAAAAAAAAGAAAGAAATCAGTGAGGAGAGAAACAGTCACTGAAAAATAAATAATGAACTTCTTGCTGGATTTTATCAGTAGCAGTTTAAAAGTCAGACCTTGGCAGCATCCAAGCCCCTCTTTTCTGTTCCCTTTTCCACATTTAAACTGTATCCATTCAACAAATCAAAGTACAAGATCTAAGCCCTCACAATAAATTTTCTAATGCTCCTTGATTCCCGTTTAACAAATTTCTGCTCGCTTAGAGGTCCTCGCTGTCTGAAAGATCAGCGCGATTTATGCCTTTCCTGTCGCTGGTGAGGACATTGCTGATAACCGACACGTTAAGTATCAGGAACATTTATGTCTCCGTGTGAGCCAAGATGTTTTCTCAAACCTTGGAGACGCTCCCGGGCTTTTCAGTTGAAGCAACACCTAGTAGATCTTCACTTATACAGCCCCACAGTTCTCCAAAGAGAAGCCTCCACCACAGATGTGGGGTGTCAAGACTATTTGTGTTCTACATTCTCCAAATTTCTGATGAAAAGGTCCCCTCTCTTTGCCAATTTTGGTTGCTTAGACTAATATATTAGGACCAAGTTTCAAATAAACACAACTCTCTCTTTCTTTTCTTTTTTCTCGCTCTCTCTGCCTCAGTGTGGATGGGGGGGACAATAAGGCAGTTGTGATGAAGAACTTTATAGGAACATTTAACTTAAGAGTGAGGGATTGAAGCGGGTAAACAAAGCATTCCTTTCCCTTTCATCACCATTTAACTGTTCCCTTAACATTCAGTCTCACCTCCAGGCCAGTGCCCACCAGACGGGGGGAACTTGTCAAATAAATATAAATCAAAAAGTAAAGGTTTATTCCACCAGCTAACACCCCGTTGCTTAAAAATGCACACTTGATCAAGCGACTTTACAGTATTTCTAACGTGGAATTGCCTGCAAAGCCTTCATCTGTGACACTGGAAGGAGTCACGGTGGCGCACAGAGTCTCTCATAGTGCAGATGTAAGCAGCAGGGATAGCATGGCTCATAGCAGCGCCCCGCCGATGGTGTTCCAGACATATAGCCTGGAGGGCCATTTGGTTATACTCAGGGGAATGGTTGTTGTGTCAGTCATTTGTGGCGGCCGCTAAAGAGTGCACTTAGCATCCTCTGTTTCCCCCTAGCAAACATGTGGGGAGTGACATGATACTGTACAAGAGCCTGGACAACATATAACATTTCAAAGCAATTTCCTAATTGTTTCCAGGCCAAGGTCGATAGCTTATATGGAAGCAATCCCTTCTTTCAAACTTTTTTTTTGTTTTGTTTTGTTTTGATCCACAGATTGGGAAACATTAAAGTGTTAAGTAAACTTGACCCAGGCGGAGCTAATTCATTGGTAAAATAGCAGAGGTTCGTGCATTCGCTGCCGTATCAGTGACAGTCGAGTCAGTGGATTTCTTTCCACTTGGATGGTCACCACATGTTAATGTGGGTCTTTGTGGTGCAATCCTGAGACATCCAGTCAATGAATAATTACATTTGTTGTCTATGATGAGAACGTGTTTACAAAGGGTGAGAATGGAGCCATCTGACCTGAAGGCAAAGGTATATGTGGACCAGATGCACTTCACACATCTCACTGGGGAACAACCCTTTAAGCTTAGAGAGACTATAACATGATACCAAACATACTATGTTCTAACTTCAGCATGAGATTAAACTGTGGATTGTAACTGTGGTTGCAATTTGAAGTGTATTGAATCACTGAAGAAGAAGAACATGTAACAGTGACAGAGGTAAGAAAGAATCAGTAATGCCAGCAAAGTGATTATTTTTTCAATTCAGTTAATCTGCTGATAAAAAGATAACTTCTCAGGCTCTTCTTCACTCACAGAGAAATGCCCTGCAGTCTTCTAACTGGATTTCTGTGTTTTCTGGGGGGAAGTCAGATCCTCCAAAAACACATCAAATGAATGAAATGAAGGCATTAATCATCAGAAGTGCCAGACTGCTGGATTTTGTTTTGAATTTTATTTGTACAGTAATGGTGTGGAATATTATCCAGTAATATATGTATATAAATGATCTTATATATCATTGTAAAAGCTCTTTAGACTCTAACTGAATGCACCTCAAAACTCAGATCCTATATGCAATTATGAGGTAGACATTAATAATGGTATTTTCCACCCTCTGCAAAATATTGAATACACCTTAAATTACTCTTATCAATGTAAGAAATATATGATTATCATGAACCTCTGTACATCACAAATAATAAAATAATTATAGAATAGAAATTATACCGATTTGAGTGCATTTTGTATATTTACAAAGAAATGCCGTTTTCTCATTTCTTCATTCGTTGCACTTTGTAAAGTTTTTTTCGACTGTACAAATATTTACAGCTCCAAAAAAAAGAAAAAGAAAAAGAAAAAAAAATGAACAGCAGTGCATTCAAAGCTAATGTGCATTTAAATATCGTCTCGTTTGCGAGTCTTTTTTTTATTTTTATATTTTCGTCATCAGAGAAGACAAACTCTCGCTGACCACATGTCCTTGGCGCAGTCAGTTGTGGAAGTGCATTTCGTAAAGATGCTGACTTTTGAGCAAAAAAAAAAAAAAAAAGAAAGTTCGCCTCAGTTATGTGTGCTTTCTTTCTTTCTTTTTCCTTTTTATGAAACAGGGCCCTCGTTAGGCACAAATCTGATTGTGTGTCCTTTCTGTCCCGCGCACGACGTCTCTCCCCAGCTGGTCGCCAATAAGGCAAAAAAAAAAAAAAAAAAAAAAAATCTCTTGAAGGCATTACCACCACCATCTTATCTCCTCTTCTCAGACCAGTCTGTGTTTGGTAGATTTGACATTCACCCTCTTCTTCTTCTTCTTTTTTTTCTTTTTTCTTTTTTTTTTTTTTTGGGAAAACAAGCACTTGCTCGGGCCTGTAATGACTCCAGCTGGACAGTGGCAATTACGGCCTGGATGCACATACCCAAAAGAGTCCGGCCTGGCTGGCAGGATCACACGGCAGAGCAGCAACAAAGCGCTGCTGACAGGCAAAGCTCACTGTCCTCTGGCCTCGGCACGAACAGGTGCGCAGTCGAACTCAGTAGGTTCCCATCTCGCCTTCAGTCACATCACACACACCATGCGCTCATTCCTTTGTGCCGCATGGACACGTCTCACTCTCATGGGAAACAAAAACAAAAAGCCTGTTGGATGAGTGAAAACTTGTTGCATGGATGCGAATTAATGTGCTTAACACTTCAAGGCAGAGAATTTAAATTAATGTGACTGTACTGAGACTGAATAAATAGAAGATATCGCCTCATGAGTGCATCCCTTTTAGATAAAGACGAGGCGCGTCATGCGTAAAAGCATTTCAGACCCGTGAGGACTTTATATCTTCAGCTTGGGACCCATAAAGACTTGTCTTTAAAATGTTCTTGTCTTTTATAGTTTTTTTCTCTCTCCTAACAAATAATGTCCGCTACCTGCACCCACACTGCTCCACCACCATGTCCTCGTACTGTTTGTACACCACGTTGTTGCCCGAGTCTGTGTACAGGATGCTGATGGGGCTGAGTTTGGTGGGGACGCAGCAGCTGGGTGGGGTGCTGTTGGGGTCCATGGAGTTCATGAGTGTCTGTATGATGGCGTGGTTGGTCGGCTCTAGGTGCGACCTGAGGGGGAAGTCGCACACCCCCTCGCAGTGGTACGCCTGGTAATCCTGGGGCGCGATGATCCAGTCGTCCCAGCCCAGCTCTTTGAAATTCACATGCAGCGCCTTTTTGCTGCACCTGGATTTGGATTTCTTCCCGTGCCTCTTCCCGTGCCGGTTGCTCAGCACGGTCCTCCGCCGCCGCCGTGGGCCCTCTCCTTTGCCCCCTCTCAGGGGCAACACCCCCTCCTCCTCTGCCACCGCCTTCCCCACCGCCGCCGCCTCCTCCTTCTCACCGACCGACCTCCGCGACTTGATCTTCTCCTTCATCTCGTTGAACAGGTTCTCCCTCTTCTTGGAGCGGGTGTAGGCCACCAGAATGGCCTTCTCCTGCTGGGACCGGCCGCTCCTGTCCAGTCCGAGCTGCCTCAGGTCTACCTCGATGTCTGATTTACCGAGAGTGACCCTGAGCTGGAAGCAGATCTGGTTCCCCTGCTGGTAGTGATGGTGATGATGAGGGTGGTGATGACGGTGCGCTTTAAACATTTCCCACACGTCCAGAACCTCCCAGCCGGCTTTGGTGGAGTCCAGCGGGTCCAGAGACCTGGAGTGCAGCAGTCTGTCGGAGCGGCAGGGGTAGAGCTGGATGTCGTAGAGGCCCGTCGTCTGCAGGGAAGTCTGCAGATCCCCGGGCGCTCTCCTAAATATCCTTAATTCCGCCCCGACCAGCTCCTCTTTTTCTGAAAGGGTTGAGACATCAAACAGATACTTTTGTCTTCGCAGAGGAGAGTGCAAAAGATCGTCTGCAAGGATAAAAGAAGAAAATAATTGCAGTCAGATTCACTTAGGGTGTACAGTGTTCAGAGGGGGGTTGTGGAGGGAGGGAGGGAGGCAGGGAGGGGGGAGACTCACATTCTCCCACAGAGGCCTTTCCCTCTCTTTCTTGTTTTTCAAATGTGCACCCTGAACCTGCCTGAAACAAACTACAGCTGACAAGTTTGGAGATGAATGAAAAAACGCACCATTAACCATATTGTACCTAAAACCCACTTTTACCATTGATTCCTTCTAATTTCCTTCTTAGAATTCTCTCTCTCTGAATTTCTTACATCTTTTATCAGGATAAAGGCCAAATAAATGTGAATGTGTTTCCATGCATTCTCTATAAGATGATAGGTCCTCGGGTTCCCTAATTCCTGCAAATGTGCAGCAATTTAAACTGATATTAGGATGCAAAGCAAACAAGCTTCATCACGCAATAACCTCTATTTTTCTGGTCTTTATATCAGATATATCCGCTAATCATGCGTCAGACGTGGACAAATTTCATTTTTGTCACAATAATCTAATACAATCTGACGAAATTTTAATTCCATGCCACTTTTAATCAAAGCCAGGATGCCTTAATGAAAATAGCTTTGCTTTCATTTTACGTGCTGACAGTTCATTTCCCACTTCTTTGGCAGACTAGAGTTTTACTTTTCCTTCTTTGCGGCTCCAAAAACTCTAAGCAGCAGCTAGAACTTTAAAAATGTGGTTAGTTTTTTTTTTTTTTTTTTGAGAACTCTTGCAGAGTTGTAAAGCAAAAAAAAGAAAAGGAAAAAACAAACCAAAAAAACAACAAGGGGCCTAGTGATATGAAGGACCCTGGGTGCTGCCAGACACAACGGACCAAAGGCGACATACTGTACACTCAACTGAACAATACACAATTAATGCATTATTCCCTGTTGGAGCCCCAGGAGGCCTGCAAATATTTCATCATGAGGCTGGAATATAACACTGAGAGACAATGAATGAAAAGGCGTTAGCACAGGCGAAATATCAGCTTTGAACAGATTTTGGATAAAAGAAATAAATCATTTTGGATCAGAGTCAAGCATGTTGGTGTTCAGATGGTGAGGGTTTCTTCAAAACTCCATTACAACAAGTTGTCTTGTGACATTTCGGTTTTAAATCTGATTTTTTTTTTCAATAAAAAGGGTGGGAAATCTGCCATTTTGGGTGAAATAATTGTAATATGGTGTTCAATGTTTTGACAAGTTTCTCAAAACGAGCGCCAGCAGGATTAGTACAGGAAAAATCCAGGGCAGTTTTAATAAAAAGAAACAACTATATATATATTAATGGGAAAAAAGTAGTTTATGTTGGAACATCGTTTTTAAATGCTAACCTATTTAAATGCGCGTTTTTAAGATAAAACGTGAATTCATGCTTCATGGTTTGTGGTCTTTTTGGTCAAATAAAAGAAAATGTTGCTTGTCCCCATTTTTATTTGAATTTTTATTTTTTTATTTTTTTAATTAAAGGGACGTGGCTACATCTAGACACCCCTGAGTTGTAATTTGTAAAAGTTACTCCAAAGGGACATTTGAATCTGGCTGTCAGTGTCTCTCTGTGAACCCTGCCGAGTGAAACAGTAAAAGTAGATTGAAACCTTGTGCTCCTTTCAGTGACTTTGCACGTCTGGTTTGCATTACTTTTCTTTTTTTTTTAAAGACCTCAAACAAATCGAATACAAGTTCACCAAATAATTAACAGTTCTCAATTCCCATCTTCCTCATTAAAGCACTTCCCCTCTTATATTTCATCTCATCCTGCCAACGACAACAGTCCCCTTAAAACGCGCCTGCATGGACCGACTGCCTGAACACACTGTTGGAATTATTGAGTTATTTGTGTTGACAGTGAAATAAAAAAAAATGTACAATGTTTTCTTAATTTCATTTTTATGTAAAAAGTCTTTTTTCCCCCATCGTGCGTAAGATGCTTGGCGACGGAGAAAGCGGTGGATTAAACTGTTTGTTTCAAAGCAACGTCCATGTGCACTTTTGTGTGACCTTGTTGGTTGTATTTGAACAAATGCAAAACATGTTTTCGTCATCTATGCCTCTGTTTGGAGAGAGAGAGAGAGAGAGAGAGAGAGAGAGAGAGAGAGACAGAGGGAGAGAGGGGCCGGTTTGCACCATCTGCGCTTTAATGAGTTACCCCAAAGTGCCAAAAGTAATTTTCAGATTCGGGTTATTCTTTTCTGATCTTGCCTTTTCTGACCTCCAGGAAACTCCCCGCCTGGTTTTATAAGCAAATTTCATTTACCTACAAAAGTGTGAAAACAAAAGAAGCCGTAGATCTTCTGGCTGCACTCTGTAAAATCCTGTCTCTGCACGCATATATAATGCGTAAAAGACGCAAAAAAGCTGTCATTTTACGCATCAAAAGTCCCCCCGTGTTCATGCTATATCTTTCCTAATTTAAATAACGAAAAGTCCCAGCTGAAGTTCATTCTGCAGGTTAATGCAATGCAACCCTTTGGGGATGCTGGGAGGAATCCCAGAAGTAACCAGAGGCACTTGAGCTGAAAGAACGGGAAGAAAAATAATTTTCCGTAATTAAAGTGGCGGTCGCAAAGGGAGGTTCCGCAATAAAAAAAAATAAAAAAAAGAAAGAAAGAAAGAAAGAAAGAAAAAAGAAAAGGAAGTGCTCTTTGATTTTTTTTTTTCTTTCCCCCCTCTTCGTTTTTTTGGTGATGTGCCCATCGTGGCCGAGCTGGGTCATTATGGGAGAATAGACAGTGTTTGATATATTATGACATGAACACTCAATTAGATCACCGAGTTCAAATACTCCAGTCAGCCGTTCGATGCCAAGCAGCTCTCAGAGGGTCCAGCTCGGGGTCAGAGCCAGTGACACATCAAATCAAAATCACAGGAGAGAGTGAGGCGTTTTTCCTATCAAATCAGCTCACACTGTAAGAAATGGCCACACGGCCGAGACATTCAATTTTAATTTCACCCCTTAAAACGACTTTTTGTTGTTGTAAATCGACCAGTTGTGTGAAGATCTCTGCTTATTTTCGTCGCTGCTAGTTTTGTTTTTTCCCGACGAAAATGTCTTTAATGTTGAAATCATTTTAAAATATATACATATTTCATTGATAATACGGCATGAGAAGGGTTGATTATTACTTAACCGTTTGCAACTACAGCTCATCGCGCTGATGGATGATGAGACGCAGCAACAAGCCGACTGTGGACAGAACGACTCTTCAGGATGGACATTTTTTGCAGCGCGCAGTCTGCGTCCGAGCGCCGAGGCTCGGAGTGTTTCAGACAGGAGGGAACTCAAACAAAGATAGCTTTTATTTCTCCCTCAAAGATTAACTCGGCTTATGTCCCCTTGTGTGTGTTGGATGTGTTTGTGTTTATCAGACTGTGTTTGTTCTCGCAGGCCGGTCAAATCACTTGGTTACACATATTAACTGACCCAAACACCTGCTTGTCACACCGACCCGCTCTGTCCCTGGCCCCCATCTTCCTTTGTCAGCACAAGTTGGCCAAATTGGGCACCATAATGGCAGCAGATTGAACGTCTTAATAAGAGCCGGATTTGGGGTGGATCTGACTCCGTTTACATGATAAACGCAAACAAATATTTTAGGGTGTTTGGAGATGCATGAAAAAAAAAAATCGAAAATGAAACAACCCTCGAGTGTTTTAATTGGAAAAAAAAAAGTTTCCTCTGTATTCACGTGGAGGTTGGGGGCAGAATAGTTTTTGCGGCAGTCTGCACTGACAGTGATTTACAGCCTTCATTTAGAGAGTGCCTCAATTAGTGTTTTACTGTCGTGTTACCCAGAGGTTAATTTAAGTGTAATATAACTTAATACTCGGAAAAAGTTACATGTTTCGACGACTGTGCAGCCAATGATACAACACTTTGCTGAGGAACAACAAACAAGCATGCAGCTTGGACAACTTTACTTCTAACATTTAAAAAAATTAATAAATAAAACATTTTGTGCGTAAAAGTGCGTCTGGACTCCCCACTTGTTTATTTTAACAAGCTTGCGTAAAAGTAGCCGCTGCGAACTTCAAGTTATGTTGTTTTTATTCGTTACTGCGGTATTTGGTCCTATTTTAACAAGTTCTAAGAGGAGAGCGAGAGAGCAGTGAGATGGGAAAAAACTGTACCACAGAATTATGCAAGGCTGAGCTGATGTAGGTGGCAGCGGATTGAAACCAACCTGTTCCTCTGTCCACAAAACTTGTTATGGTGTTGGCAGATTTAGAGGAGCGGAAAAAACTCGCGTTTAGTCCGAGCTTCTCTGCAGCCGAGTATGTCCTGTATATAGAGAGCATGTATTCATGTGGAACAATAGCGTCCTTTAAGTCTTCTTTGTGATGTCCCACGACAGGCTGCGAAGACGCAAAGATGTCTTTTAGGAATTTGGATGACCTTTGTCCGTCCTGATGAGGGATCCTGACTCCCCTGTTCCTCCTCGGCGCAGAGGGAGAGATGATAGCAGCAGACTGGAAACACGGTATATTCCCAAGAAAAACAAGGAGGAGGCCCAGATATATCGTAACGACTCGAGATGCGTCCATGGCTGGAAGAGTCACCGGGAGATGTTGAGAAACTCTTTTATTGTTCCCCGCTCAGTGAAGCTGGATTCGGAGGGGAGGGGGGGGGACCGCCGGAGCCGGAGATGGTGTGCGCGTCAGGGTCGGAGAGCTGCTACTTTTACGCTCTCCGGTCGCACCAGAAGAAGTGCGTTTTTCGCTCTGGACTCTACACAAGAGCGGAGACTGTTGGGCCGAGAGAAACACGCCCACATGGTGGCTCGGTGCAGGGCTTCCCAAACAATTTCATGTCACAGACCTCCAAACAGACGCGCACTGCAGCCAACGGACTGCCAGAGGAGACGGAGACAGGAATCAGTGTGGGAAAGTTTGGGCTGTTTTTGGACTAACATCAAATAGCTCAAGTATTCGCCTATGCAGATGATATTTTACTTCATCTTTAATGTTTAAACTTTTGTTAAATCTTCTTGTAAAAGAAAAATACACTGAAATTAAACTATTGCCTACTTTCTCCTCTTTCGGTGACAAAAGCCAAAATTATCGCTTTAAACTAAAGACACATTTCTAATCGGCAAAGTGTTGCTTCCTTCACTGACAAGTGTGTCGTGTTTCCGAAAGTAGGTTAAAAGTCCAGACAGATTTCAGAAACACGACAACAGAGTGATAGTTCTGCTTATCACAGACTAGACAGCCGGAAAGCTTCCGGGACAATCGCATCAGATTAGATTTGATTTTACGCACAGGTATTTGGCTGGAGACACACAAAAGACCATAACGTTGGAATATTTTGATTAAATTATTAGACATTTTCAAATACTCCCAAATTCCGATGAATATTATTTACAGACATCAGTGAGCTGACACTGAATGAGCGCAAAATAAAACAAAGCTAAATACAAACCTGGGTCAAATATAATATGACGGAAGCAGCTCTTCAGAAACAGACAATTAAACTAACTGAGGATACTTAAGTTTTACATTTAATTTGGAACTGAGAACACAATAACCCCAAAAACCTGTAGCCTGAATGTGGAGTCATTCAAACCTATGAGTCGCCTAATAAACGACTCGAGCGACCTCTAGTGGCCTTTATTATCTATTACAAGAATAAAAAGACGTCTGGGAACAAGTGGCCGAAAGATCTTCCAAAAAAGCAAACTACATAGTTTTAAAGTTTTCGCTTAAACATTTGTACTTGTTTAACAGCAGAACATTCCTCTGATAACAGAACGTTGTTGTCATTTCAAATTATGTGATTCAAATGTGTTGAACTTGACAGAAATTTGAAGAGATATTATCCTCAACACTTGTGTAAATGTTAGCTGCATTAACCACCCATGGAGAAATTAAAGTCCTCATACATTCACAACCCTCCATTCAACAGCACATGATAAACTACACCTGCTGCATACTCTCACCTTGACTGCCAGTTGGAGGGAAACGTTCCTGATGGAGCTGAGAGGAGGATCCAGTTCTTTCCTCTGCCAGGTTCACCAGGTGAAAAGGAGTCTGTAAATGGTAAACAAACAGCTCATGTTGCACTGAAATAAAATGCTTTTATGTCTTGTATGAGTCTGCTGAGTGTGCAGACACCTGCAGAGAGGTGGGTGTAGTTACACTTGTGACTTGTGAACCAACTCAGGGGGAAAGAAGCGATGCAGATTCGGACTTGGCAGTGGGACATTTCAGTAAATGTGCTGACACAATCATCACTTAGTCTCTGGTATTTGCATCCTCCATTCGCCTTCATGAAATGTGTTGATAATATCTGCAAGGTGCAAAACACAGTATGTTAACCTGATACCAATATCGTAAAAATGATTTATTAAAGTAATGATGCTCTTACCAAGGCATGCTCTGAAACATTCGTCTCCTACAACAGACTCACCACTGCTGTTGGTTTCACACTGTTTTGTTGATCACAGGCCAACACAGACCAGCAGAAGTGAACCACAAACATTTAAAAAAACTGGGCTTTGCATTTGTTTTATGAGGAAGGAACAGCATGTTGGTTAGACCTCAAGAATAAAAACAAGGCTTTTGTTTACAAGGAAACTCCACAGGTCACTTTCAGTTTTACATTCCAAGATGAATCAACACCACAGTCAAAAGTTGAGTGTTTTTCTGTTTTTGAATCTAGTTTCATCAAGGTTTATTAATGCTGGAACAACACCACATATCACAGCAATTATAATTTGCCAGTTGGGGAGATTTCATACCTCCTGCTTAGAGTAGGCCTATACTTCTGTTACCTTTCCAGTGTGAACACACCGTTCATCCTCAAACCTGACAACAGCTGAATTCAATACACATTTAGAAGCTGGCAGCCTTTATGTGTCCTGAATTGGAAACTCAGGGCAAAAGAAGTCCACACTGTAGCCACAGCTGCTCACAGAGCCCACTGCTGCCAACTCATGTCATTCATTTAACACGAGGGAAATGTGCAAACATCTGAAATGTCAAAACAATGACAAGAAAACCCCTTTTTAATTGCCAAAATGTGAACAATGTGACTGTGGAAAGAAACCAGCGCTCCAGCGCAGAACTTCTGCTTCTATCACATTTACAAGATAATCACCTGAAGGAAAACCAGATTCCTTCGGTTGATTTTATTTATTTTCTATTTTTGTCATTTGCTACTAGATATTTGGAAGTGCATAAAAAAATGCATTCAATTAAAATGCAGTCCCTGGATTGAACTGATTTGAACTGTGGAGATGGTGTTGCGCATCAGGGTCGAAGAGCTGCGAAGTACTTTTACTCTCTCCGGTCGCACCAGAAAAGCTGCGTTTTTTCGCTCTTGACTCCACATCAGAGACTGCTACGCAGAGAGAAACACACCTACGTGGTGGCTCAGGGCTTCCCAAACAATGCTGCCACAGACCTCCCAAAACGGACGCGCACTTGAGCCACCGGACTGCCAGAGGACACGGGAAAAGAAAGCAGTGTGGGAAAGTTCGTGTTGTTTTTGGATCAGGATCAAATAGCTGAGGTATCTGCGCATGGAGATGATATCTGTACTTCATTTTTTGGTGATAAAACCTTTGTTGTGTCCTCTTGGAAATCAAACTGCGGTTAAAAATAAAAAATAAAAACAACTTTCCTCATCTTTCGGTGAGTATAAAGCCGAAATTGCAGCTTTAAACTCAAAGCACAATTGCAATCAGCAAATTGATTTTTCCATTAGTGACAAGCGTTTGAAAAAAATGTTGTAAATCTGCAGATACTTCAGAAACACGACAGGAGTCTTCTAAGACTTCATGTTACTCTTATTGACGGTCTGAGAGCATCTACAGTCATACCGGATCAGATTTTACGCACAGAATTATTCACATCTTCCTGCGTGAGGAAGCTTTCATGGACACCATTAAACTAAGATCAAAAGAGGGCAAAGTAAAAGAACCCAAATAAAAATCCAGGTGAAGTATAGTATCATCTATGCTTTTTGAATTTATTGGAAAGTGGCAGAATGTTTCCTATAGGATGACCAGGTGGAGTCACTGAAAACGATGCGCCATTGATTTTCCAAGACATAATATATTGCCTTTTCTGTAGGCCACATAGTTGAATCAAAGTGAACTAAAGTTGTACTGAGTAATAATTTTTATTAACATTAAATCAAATTACTCATTGTAATATGAAGTTGCTGAAGCCTGGGTCAAGGTATAAGCAAAACTCCAGTATAATGTGGGCAGCAGTTCTCACCCACAACTAACCAAATATTATCACACAAACGACAGCACTCAAGTAGCAAGAAAATTCAACTTGTCAGGTTGCCAGACAGAGAAATGCACATGAAGTCTTGTTTTTTTTGTTTGTTTTGTTTTTTTTTTTTTCATGGATCTTTAAGTTGGTTAGAACTTGATTTGACTCTTGCAGAAAGAACACCTCAGAACATCTTACCTTCTACTCCACATGAGGTTATTTACACTATTCTGAAGTTTACTGTCTGCAGTTTTTGTGAAGTTAAGAAGAAAATGCACTGTTTTGCTGATTTCAAGATATTTAAATACTGATGTTTACATTTTAGAGAGCAGTATGTAAGTGCTGAAGTGTTGGTAAACTGGTATTTTCTTTCTGCATGCATGTATTCCAGCTGCCACTCGAAAAGGTCACCTGGTTACAAGTTATTATAAATGTCTACATACGTGGCCTTCTGTCTGCTGAGAAATGTTTCATAGGCTCATAAATGCACTTTAAATGTAAAAAAAAAAGTGAACATGGATAGTTTCTGTCCATGTGTGAAGACAAAACCTTGCAGCATTGTACATGCAGCTTCAATGGATCAGTTCCACCTGTCAAAACAAGACTGAGTTAGATGGTCACACAAGTGGCTACAAATAATGTTTCCTCTAATAATGATAGTTTGTGTCCACATCTCGAGTCACCTCTGACCTGCAGTTTTACAACCACTGTTGGGCAACCTGGTTGTTGAACAATCATTTACACTTTGAAGCCATGAGCCTGGGGTCATTAATGTGCCATTAGCTTTGTGAGTTGAAGGAGACTGTCCGAGAGTCTCCACCAGTCAGTTAGAACTGCTACAGACTCTTGGATTAGAGGAACAACATCACAGAGAAGTCCAGCTGCTTTTTACTGAAGTTCTTAAAACTCCAGCCAACACGTCACAGTTTGGATTCCCCGCATCACCATGTCTGCTGCACCACAGTGAGTTGAGTTTTCAGTTTACATATGCATACATGTTACCATGTCAGTAAACTGTCATCCTGCCTGATTAAAAGATCTAAGTTTAAAATCAATTTCAAGCCTTATGCAACAATGCCGAA